TACTTGGATATTTAACAATGTAGTTAGTCGTGGAACATCACAGAAACACTTCATTACTTCTCATACAGGATCATAAATAATGTAACCTTTACCTTAGTGACATATACGTCAGGATAGTTCACCATGCTAACCGCGGTTAGTAAAAATTATAGTCTGTATGAAACAGTTTACAAAGATGGCGAGAGTCCTTGTGTGGTTACTTTTTTCTCCAAGATGCATTTGTCAAGATGGCATCCATCTTAACTTTAAGGCAGCCATCTTCAATGAAGCATCTTGGGATAGTACTCTCAAATGATCTCCTGTAAGATTATTCTAAAGGTCATTATTATTTCTGATGGACTTTTTTTTCGCCTTTCTCAAGGATGTAATAATATCAAAAATGTAGATAGAAACCATGAATTCAATCAATAGATAAATCTACAGTCTGTTTCAAGATTGCAAAATGCATCCGTTTTTGGTTTCAGCTTCTAAAACCTTGCAAATCAGAAATCCCGAAAAAAACTTTCACGGTGATATAATGTATAGAATATGTCATTTATAACTTGGTTTACAAGCAATTCAATTCATATTAGCACAATAACACAAACACACACCGGAGACAGCCTATGAATGTCATGTGTAGTTTTAACAATCACACACAGTAAAGGCGTATAACACACCATTATTTCAACACAATGCAATACATTACCCGTTTTAATCCCGAACAATTGCTGATAAAATATTACTTTTATCTGTATAGTGAATCTAAACCATCCAGATACAACGGAACCTTGCTTAAACATAATTGTTTTTGTTTTCAAACCAAATTACTGCAGACGGTCGCAGCACGATTGTAGTCTAGTCTTACAACTGCAGAGAATTCTACGTCACCATTACATGTATAAACATATTTGTTTTTGTTTTCAAACCAAAATACAAGACAGCACTGCAGACGGTCGCAGCACGATTGTATTTTAGTCTTACAACTGCAGAGAATTCTGCGTCACCATCTTAGTCTTTCTTAGATATATGTAACACGGGATTAAAAGCCTGAAATTGATTTAGCAGCGCAGACTAGTGTTGGAATGACTGATGTTCTGTTTAACAGGTTCCGGTGTACCGACTTGTAGACACACACCTACACTGTACAAGAAGATTACTAATCATATATATGGCGTCTATACAATAATTTCTACAATTAAAGTGACTACATGGTATCTGGATCACATCAACGTCATAACTTACACGCTATATCTTACATTCACCTACGTCATCATTCACAGTGCACAAACTAACATTCATCTACGTCATCATTCCCAGTGCTCAAACTAACATTCATCTACGTCATCATTCATAGTGCTCAATATCACATTAAATATACGTCATCATTCACAGTGCTCAATCTCCCATTCATCTACGTCATCACTCTGAGTGCCCAATTTCATATTACATATTCGTCATCATTTACAGTGCTCAATCTCACACACAAACATTTTCTCGATCTATACACGCAACCGCTACTTTAGAGATTGAACAAAAGCAAAAAATAACCCTTTTCATTCAAACACATTTTCTGCTAACAATATTTTTTTCACATAAAAATCCATTTCTAGCACTCCATTATAACCTTCCTTAAGCAGGTGTTAATTTCAGCTACCATTCATTTGTGTGTATATCGCACAAGGAGCCCAGATATAACGCTCACCTGCTTTATTTATTTTTTTCTGAAGTAAAAATAAAGATGAAATGCATCCGATCTTAAATGTAATTAACATATATATTAATTCAAATATTACATTTATAAGGATAAGGCCAGATACAATGAGGTAATATCTAGTTTAAATTGAACCGTGGAATTGAAATTCGGTGAAAAATTCAATATCAAATCAGAATAAATAATTACATTTTGGATATTTAGACAACAATAGCGCCTCTTGATGACCAGATATGGAATTTGATTTCCAGTAGTTGGAAGTTTAGGAGGGTGTAAAGCCTATCTGATGCTAGAAAAACCATTGTGGTTTACCAATCATTCCGGACAATTCTTGGTTCTTCTTTTACTCATCCCCTACATTTACCCCGATCAAAATCATGCCTTTCTTATTTAACACAACCACAATTTCTTCATCGGCATTTACCCTATCAATGAATACGAGTTCTTGTCTCTGTTATCTATACAGAATTTATCATCACCATTTATAACTTAAAACCGAATTATGTCGAAGATCGACCCATATTGCTCCTAAGCGGCCCTATCCTGTCGTTCCCAGAAGACACAAGATAGACGACAGATGCATTGCGATGGCATTGTCTATTGATCTTTTAGTAGTATGGAAAGTTGGAAGACTTGTCCTTTTTGATTTGAGCTTTATATAATAATATATCACGTGGTTAGCAGACAAGATAAGCTTGCATAAAACATTTGCAAACATGGCTTTAAGGGACAGGGGGTTGCAATTTGATTTTATCTCCCATAATCGTTTACTTTGTAAAATTTAAAAAAGGATCTTTAGACTTCTGCAAACAATTTCTATCATACGGACGTGTTTACTAAACAACGTGGGCTATACACACTTATGCGATACAGTGACCTATCACACTCAACAATCACACAACTGTACATTATACACAGAATGAGGTAGATATCGGCTGTATAGTGCTGTTTCTCTTAAACTAGAGAATCAGTATTGAACACGCCTTAGATATACAATAGTAGACTGGTTATCTCCCTTTAATACCACAGGATCAACATATTTGGTGTATATTTCATATCAATTACTCTTAATACAAGTAACGAACAGAAAATATTAAAATGTTATTGGAATTTTATGTTAATAGGTCGTTCATCATTCCAAAAACACCCCGAAGCACTAGTAAGAATGATTTTAGTGGAAGTTTGATCAATGCGGTTAAAGGGAGATAGTCGGTTTGAGTTTTCTAAAAAGCTATACACAATATTGTACACAAATACACTTAAAAACGTACTGACAAGAAATCATCAATTGAATTTAAAAGCTAGAAGTACTTCACCTCTTTGTAAATGAAAGTTTACATTGAAATAAATATTGAAATACATATGTTTATTTGACTGTATCAACAATCATCATCTTCAGTTCTTCAAGTGTTTCTTTGTAGATTTCTTCAACAATTGATTACTGCACAATGTACTTATGATTCTTTTCTAAAGATCAATGCCACGTGAATCCACTAACCATTATCAAATCAATCGAAATAAATAAAATACATAATTATAAGACATGAATATTGATCTAAATTCTACACCATTTTCTGTGTATCCTGATTATAATTAGCCTGTCACCGGTACCTCTATGACGTTGTGCGTCTCCGTGCTAAACGTTCATTTCCTTACGTTTTTTAATATGTGATGTTCATTCGGTGTTCTCGAAGTAAACCCTGACATCAGTATAAAGCTGATTTTGATTAAGTCGTCCGATATAAAATGTATTTATTTTACAGTTTAAGTAATGATGCAATAATTCCAAAAATGACATTGCGCTTAAAAAAAAATCTTCTGCGTGTAAAATTCACTTAATATTAATAAAGAGTTTCGAAAAATCTCTTTTGTAAGTTTTTAGAATAAAGCATTTTTATTTTAAATGATATTATGATAGCGCAAAAAATGTAAAAAAAAAAAATATTGCGGATTTGCAGATTTTTATAAATTGCTAAACGTTAAAATATCTTGTAGTTGATGTTTTAGATATCACTATAAAGAAATAACAGTAGCTGTTTTTTTTTATTTTACCAAGACTGATTACTGAAATCTAGCACACCTGGTCTGCTTAAAGCTTTCGTATACACAGCACTATCCACGTTTCTAAAAGACAATCGTTATACTTCCATCACATCTTATGACATTTCTTTAGCTTTTATAATCACTCCAATAAAATGAAGACACTTTTTAAACATAACGGATTCCAAATTAATCTACAATGAGAAGCAGGATAGACTTAAAACAGGCTTATTCTCTACGATAAGCTGGAACGGGACTTTCAAGACGGATAAACATTTAAATTCAAGGAAATTACATACCTATTTTCTGTAAATATTTCGGGGTCAGTAGATTTATAAATGATTTTCACAAAGTGATATTTTGATATAGCTCATAATTCGCAAAAAATTGTGAAACTATCTGTTGTAGTTTGTAAGAAGGCAGCCGAGGCAACAAAAGGAGATCATATTGTCAAAAAGCAGTCTCTAGCTTGATAAGTAAAAATATTCACCACGACAATTTTCTATTTCTAAAACGTATAGGTGGCAATATTGAATCATACCTAATTTCTATTGGTGTTCTCCCTAGTACTGTAAAATGAAAATTTTTCGTGATTATTTTATTTTCGTAGAATTCATGGTTACTCTTTATCCATGATGCATACCTCGAAGAAATGACACACAGATTAAAAATTGACAGGTATTTAAATATCTCGTAAGGAAAATCTGTCAACGAAAACAGATACGAACAAAAAAAAATTTTTTTATAAAACCATGAAGTTTAAGCTCGACGAAAACACCATTTTTACAGTATATCTGCTTATTGCTTATCGGTGCCAAAGATTACAAATGCTCCTGTGTTAATAGGATAACATCAAAATATGATAGAGAGATGAAGTGTAAGTTGTTACGTTTGAAATATTACTGAAACTTTGTTGATTCTGAAAATAAAAGATACGAAAACATAACATTATGTGCAGTAAACTGACACAAGCACAGAGGTAAAAAAGTACTTTTTTCGACCCATTACCTTCCCATCGTATAATAAACATGATGAAGGATATGGAACGAATTGTCCAGTGGTTGGCTCAGCCTCACAAACATATGCTGGTGGACTCGGAGAGTATCGGTTTTCTATCCGATATCCCCTCCTTGGAAACTACAGTCCAGTTGTGTCCTCATAGACATTGTGCAGGGCAATGAATATATCCATGTTTTAAACGATTTCTTAGATATGGTCTGAATCAGTTCACAAAATGTTTATCAGGAAATCGTTTAAACACCCGCTCTCATAAGTATTCCTCCCCCTCGTTGAACAAATCTAGTAGATGTGGAGGTATTTCATTAGAATGATCAAGACGAATACACAATACCCTTTCAGCATGTCTTGTACTAATTGTCCGAAGATCAGTGACCTTCATCAAGATTTTAGCCCAGTGGACAGGCTGAAGAGGACGCTTGACAGCTACGTATCGCTTAAAGGCACCCAGCACATCATCTTGAAGTTTTTCTACCGCATCAGCTTCCTTTAAGCCGGAACGATCTACAATGGAAAAGGATAAAGTGAGCTTTTTTAAAGATTTTATTCAATTTATCAGCTGATATTGAAACAAAATACTTATAGTGATTATTTCAATTTCAACAAATGTCTTTGCAAGAAAACATAATTAAATAAATAGATAAATGAATAAAATAAATAAAATAGATAAATAGATGAAAGAGGATAGGATGCCATGCTAAGTTTTTATACACCTTCTCCATAATGGTTTTATTTATCTTTATAGCTGTGAACATCGTATCAATGGTAATTTTCTCAAATATCATTGTTAAGGTCTGAAACAATGCACATTGATACTAAAATCGATAGGTTAGATAACAAATATACCGAAAACAATAAAATCCCTATTTTATTTTACTTTAGAATTGAATGCAAAACTCGTATTGAATGATTACCTGATTGCATGAGAAGAACAGCTGCCAGGAGAGCTAATTCAGTTTTATCGAGGTCCAACTTCGCTAAGCCGACGGCAAACTCAAATATTGGTTCTACAAGAATTCCTAAACCCTCTGCCTTTATCTGGGACTTGTGTAAGGTCATGCCATTGTGCATTGTAAGTGTTTCCTGTTCTTGGTCATACTTGCACGCTGCTCGAAGGCACATTATCTCCATACAGCAGGATTTCAAAAGTAAAATTTGGTCATCTACGAAAAGCTGAAAGAAACAAGAAAACGCTTCAATATACATACTGAGTTTGTAGGGATTAGGTTGTGATGGCAACGTGTAGATTTTAAGAGGAAATGTATAATTATATCAACGTGTTGTTCTAACGTTGTACAAAAACTATTCGAAACATTCGAGTTCTGCAAACTTGTCAACAGATATCATTGCTACCTTTTTCTTGTAATTATCGTAAAATAGGACAAGTCACCATGGTAACTCAGCTCACATCTGTACACAGACATTGAGTACAAGGTCACCTAGGTAAGTCGGCCCACATCTGAACACTGATAGAGAGAACCACATCACCATGGAAATCCGTATCTTTGCACAAAATCAAAATACATTTGAAGAACACGTAGATTAAAGCATAAGATCTTTCATTTATGAATATTCTTGATGTTTAACTAATAAATTGTTAATAGGTAGTATTCTATGACGTCATAACAGAAATTATATATATATCATCTGTAATAACTGGACAACAGTGAGTATAGCACAAAATTGACGCCGCCTGAAAACCACAGTCTATGTCTCGCTTCGTGACTCCTTTACACGCGAGACAAAAAAGGAATGGAATCAACAGTAGCGGTTTTTGCTAAGGCCTATAGGAGGTCGATGATAAAATAATTACTTTTGATTACACAACTAAGATGCTACCAATCTGGGATATATACGAATTATATTCAGCAGTTTTCAGCAACACCAACCCTGATCTTCACCAATCCCTGGAAAGTATTTTATCTACTGCAAACGTATGATAATTGAGAAATGATGCTCTGCCTTCCAATTCCTCTGAGCTGATTATTTCCGCCATAAATTCTATCAGAATGTCATGGAAATATACGTTATCTCTCGTGAGAGTATCCATCACGTTTGTTATCTGGATGCCTGGAATTTGACTTCCAGTGTTATCATGATGATTTACTAACATGTAAGTCAAAAACATGTTCGACCATTGATTGATTCAGTTTGTAAGTGTAAGGTATTCTGATAAACTTTAAAAACCCATTACACCCTAGAATAAGGAAATGTGACCTCCCAGGTTACGATTTCCTGAATAGGAAGATTTTATGTACGGTATTGAGAACTGTATTGTGAGCTCATAGGTTCATCTTGTACTTTTCACAGGTATCCGTTTTTATCGAAGTTGGGTTTGAAATGAGATTCTGATGACATGTCGGTATGCTTTGTCTTTGTACGTTTTGTCTCTGAGTTTTGTCTTCGTCTTTTTAAGTTATGTCTTTGTAATTTTTGTCTTTAAAAGTTTTGACTGTAACTTTTATCTCTGTGAGTTTTGTCATCGTCTTTCTAAGTTATGTCTTTGTTAATTTTGTCGTTGTAAGGTTCGACTTGATACGTTTTATCTTAAAAGTTTTGTCTTCGTAAGTTTTGACTTAGTAAGAACTTGTTGTTATTTCAAAAATGCATTTCAGAAACAAATACACATTTCGTATGAAACCTAATATGAATGAGGTTTCATGAAGACTACTGATCTGGTATTTCTCTACACTCATAACTTGTTTTGGTATTTGACGTCTGGTTTATTAACGTCCCAAATTTGTTTATTAACTAATAGTTTAATATTTATGATATGTCCGTGGAGAAAATTAAAACAATATATACATATTGTCGCCGAATCGTCGTAATTCCTTCCCGTGTTATTTAACTAGAAGTTTCTAAAAATCAGATTGTTTGGATAAGTGCTAATATTCATATTAATTGTAAGCATTCCCAAATAAAATATAGATATGTTTGTATATAACTACGTATGCTATTAAAATAAAAAAAAACCTCCTAAATAGCCTTCATGTTCGAAATGTAATGTAGAAATGTCATATATAAATAAGCCATGAATAGAAACGACAGTGTAGCCACTTAACTCGATCTTTAGTGTCCTTGCTAATGACCTAAATTAAAGAAAGATAACAAAGCTAACTGCCTAAATAGATTCAGATTTCTTATTTTCACAAATGTATTTGCAATCATGGATTAATCGTACCAGTTATACTGATAGTACAAGTTATATATCCATTTCAAATGGCGTTTGTGAAACAGGAGACTAAGAATTATCCCTTTTTACAGAGCCTCCGTCGAGGTAAAAAGAAAACAAAATCACTATGAGTGTAATAAATTCATGTGAAATGAAAACGACTGTTAGATTATCACATAACTTAAGATGCATTTGTAATAAACTCATGACAACAAAATCGAAACAAGAGAAACCTTCAGCCATTAAGAATCCTCCTCGGGGTGTTTATCAACGTGTGGATATATACTTTATGTAACAGATGTTATTATCAAACTGACATCAGTGTCGTTATACAATCAATTACTAAATTAAACCAAAACTTCATTTTCATAAACACGTTAGACATTTTAGAAATCACAGTACATTAATGAAAGTTCTCAGCAGCAGTACATTATTATACTGTCAAATGCGTTAGAAAATGTATCACTGACGAAATAAGATTTGATCAATTTCTGTACGAAATATATTCTGTATTACCAGTTTAGTATAATTATTTGTTAGTTAATCTTAATAAATGCTTACAAACGTAACATATCTTACGTCTTGTAAGCCAATTCATTGTTTTAGTATTAAACGTTTATTTTAATATTGATCTGTTCAAAAGAGTTATTTTACCTCGTGCTAATAATTATATACAGTGCAGATATGCATGTATTAAAATATCCTTCACCTGAATAGTCTATTTCATATAATTATTTATGGCTAATTCCTATACATTTAATTTAGGATTATTTCTGTCAAAAATTCTGCTTAATTTCATTTTTCCACTTTACAGTTCAACACTCTATGGTTTGTGTGAACCTGTAATTAATTCCTTTTTTTTCTAATTTCAGTTTTTCTTCAACTATTAACATTTCCTCAATCGTGTGAACAAACTATTCCCAAATATTTTATCTAATATATTCATCGCTTTAACATCGAAGGTTCTGTGTTTAGTACATTTGGTATGTACTACTTTATAACGTGCTATGGGCAACGAAGAGAGATAAAGACAATGTAAGTTATATACAACGAAGCCAGTGGGCAGTTTACATTGATCGATTGACCTAAATATGCTGACCAGTGGTCAGTGATTTAACGTAAATATATTAATGTCATTGTGGCAGTTGTTTGCAGCCTGCTATTATGGCGTCAGTGAGTATCGATATCCTTAATCATATCTTGATATTTCACTCTTTGGACGGTCAGTTGATAATATGATAAAATATGGCGTAAATTGCTAGAATCAAGCCATGTAAATAATAGCCATGATAAATTACATATCAAAAACGACCTTGACCTGGTCTGACCTGAAACTGCCCACTGCCCACCAACCACAGTCTCTGTATAATTTATAGACTTTCATCGGGTCATATCATATACATAAAACTTAGCGATGCGTAATGTGATATCACCAATAGGTCCTAAGTGTCGCCCATTTATACCTTACCTATCCTTTACTGAATTAATCCTTGAAAAGAGGGTTACAATACGTTTCATTGTCTATTTACCTTCTTAAAAAATACTAAAAACAACAAATAAGATATAAGGATATTGGTATTTTTTTCTAATCAACTAAAAATAACACTGTCATAAAGAAACATTCCAACAGGTATGCATTTTCACCGACATAAAGATATACATTAAATTGATTTCGTTACTTATTCCCTTATATGTCTTAATTGTAAATCCTTGGCGAAAACCTTTCTCACTTAAGACAGATTATGGAATAGATGATAAGATGTTGCTATATTATATCATATATATAAAGTATATCATAATACGCTTCGCTGAAAATGCAGTTATGAATTATTGAACAGAACGGAAAATTAAGTAAACTCAATGACAGTAAGTTCGATTAGGTAGAATAAACAATGAATTAAACTGCATCATACAGCTGTACATCTCTCTAGGTCAGTGATGGTATGGAGGGCCTAGATTTTCGAAACTTTGGATATCAAACTAAATATCACAATTCAGATAAACAGGTGCACTCGCCCCATAAAATACTCAAACAAAACAATATACAGTAAATGAAAAAATCCTTACCCGAAGAAAAAACAATATTGAGCGATGACACGAATAATTACATAATAATGATAATTTACACCAAGTAGATAAGAAAATGGCAAGAAAGTGCACCTTGTATTTTCTTTATAAAAATAACACTCAATGGTGAAAGGACAACCAGAAAAACATTAGCATGCATATTTACCTAAACTATGTCTTACAATGAAAGTGCTTTTGGTATGTTTATTGTTTACAAATGTCTTACAATGAAAGTTTTTTAGAATGTTTATTGTTTATTTTTTTACAATTGCAATGGTTCTTATAGAATAAGGTCAAATATCTTTTACCTAAAAATCTGTAAGTTATACTATTTCAATAATCGATTTTACACTACATTGATACAAGAAAATCCTAAATGTTCGTGGAACACAACTTTTGTTTTCCAAGAATATACATGTTTAATTGCAATTGATTTCGCAGATAAATCCTGATCACGAAATTTATTAGTAATTTATTTCTATATTTTTTTCAGTTTATCTTTTTTGTGAACATATTAATTATACTAAATTTAATTAAATATATTCATCACGAACAGTAAATGATTTTATATATATATCAATAGCAACTTTTGTTCATTTAATAGTATTTTATTTTCCGACTAGAGATCGAGATTGATATCACACTTGCTTCAATGTGTATAAAGTCACTAAGTACTTTTTTATGTTCACCAGTATCTTTTCAAGGGTCACGACCTACCAAGCTGCCTGGAGCAAGTCAACCCTAACACTACCCGGACCTGTAAAAATTGACGCCGATAGAAATAGGGTATCGTATTGTTAGACGTCCACCTCCTGTTCTTTATATCACTTGTGATCGAGTCAGGCATTTACTGTTTAAAAAACTGGAACCACAGTAATGAAAAGAATAGTGGAATTTTTAGGAATGAGAAAACAAAATCACGACGACCGTTTATAGTAGCGAATCGTTGTTTCTTTCAATTAAGTAATCTCTAATAAGGAAAATACACTGCTTAGGTAAATGAGACATGGACGAAGAGTTATCAGATATGTTTCAAGCTTAGTACAAGGACACAAGGTATCCTATGAAAAAGTCTGAAAGTCATCAGTCATAAGATATGATGATATCAAAATAATGTTGATGGTTAATGGAATAAATTACTATTATCAAAACCCAGATATCAACGTGTATAATCACTCAGAACAGATATACAGAACGTCACGTACAGGCCAGGAGGAGCTGTGAAAGATCTGCCGACGGACAATCGATAATGCAAAAGAATGACCGCACTGACCAGCACATCGGCTCATGGATTATTCAAATGAGCTGACCACTCCAGAATACTATGGCAACGCAATAAAAAAAGACAAAGCTAAAACGGGAAATTGAGAAGCTGTAAAGCCGTGTCACGAACAAGCACAGTGTTATATGTTGCAAAATCACTGATACGATTATTTATGTGTTTCATGCTTAGCACCATATAAATACGTATTTCGCGGTTTTTTTTTCAATTAATATGTCCATAGTCACGACATCTCCTTCCATTACCAAAACATATGATGATCACAAAGTTGTAACATATTTATCCGAAAATGAGCGTCGAACAGATTATACTACGCACCAAAATATCTTAGATTTCAATCAATCAATCAATTAATTCCAAGATTTCTTTTGTTTGTTTCTTTATGAACAGAATATAAAATCCGGTAATACGATTATTACACCTCTAAAAAGAAAGGATGTATATATATTCTGAAACGATGAACACACTGATTTTCTATAACCTTCATTTTTTTTATAAAGGTCAGGTCATGACCCTCTCATCTATTAGTATAAAGCCATGGAAATATCACTAATATCATTTCAAAATGTCACGAACCCAGTGATCGATAAAAGACACTTTTAGTATTACATTTCTCTTTTTATAGAGTATATCTTGAAATTTACATAATTTATAAAAATGTAAGAAAAACACATACCACCTTTTCACCTGTTGAACACTAAAGCAATTCCCTTTAACGACCCTATGTACTGTGCATTTACTTGTAGTTGTTTAAAGTTTATTAAAGATATTATTCTATTGTTTCCCTGATGAGCATTTCTCAATGTCCATATGGAATACCCCTATACATCACTGCAGCATCAAACACGAAATCAGAAAACTTAAACTATCTTACAACTCAACTGAAATCACAACCAAGCTGAACTTGGACACGGTAATTCACATTGAAGCAAACAATGATGTGTTTCATATTTGTATGGGATACCTGACGGAATCAAACTTAAAAGTGTTGCTGAAGTTAAATTATAAGACATAAACAATGCAAAAAGCTTACCCTTCAAAGCTGCTTAAAATAACCAAACCTGTCCTGTTTTAATAATAAAAAAAATCTAAAAAATAATTTGTTATTTCTCTATAATGATATTTTATATACTAAATGTTCATGTTTGCCACGGAATATGAACCTTCTACTATGTTCCGCCTAATTTGATTCCGTTATCTACCGTAAGTTTAATGATATTGAGAATGATAGATTTTCCTGCTGGGAAATATGTAAAACATTAGCCTACAACTCTTAAAAGACTGAAATATCTGTATGATGCAGTTTACTTCAATCTTTGGCTCTACTGGGTCTGATTTAAAATCTAATAGACTTTGCAAAAGACACACAAGTGAATAACTCCTTGTAATAATTTGGAGTTAGATACAGTAGAGCTAACAATGAATTGAACTGCATTATACAGCTGCTTCTAGGACTCTTCAGTAATGCTAAGGACCTGAATTGTGATTTTCCCTTTTAACAATCTTGGCATATATTTGATGTATTTCCAAAATACGGTTAATTTGAATGTGCATAATGAAGCGAAACATCCTACTGAATTTATAACCGATAATACAATATCAGTAAATATTGTCATAGAATATTAATGCTGTTGTGTATTTACATTTCATTTTTTCAAAACGTTAGAAACATAATTGACATAATTGCAAACAGTGATATTTCTGTCGTTTAAAAGAATATCATTACCCAACAGCCATGGCCATGATTCACTGCAGGCTAAATTATTTACTAAGATTTATTCAGAAAAAAACATTGATTTTAATAAGATAAACTCCTAACAATAAGATCCATAATAAAACATATAAGGAGGAAATGACGCCATCTTTAATCTTAAATGAAAATGGAAATCTTAACTTAGATAAAAATCTAAAATCAACGTTTACAAGCTATTTGTAAATGGGATTATAGATTCTTTGATAATCTTATTGTATACACCAAATATTTCAAGTAATATCCAGGATCACAATAAATTCAACAAATAATGTTTAGTCTATATATTGTCAAAATTAATTGGTAAAAAGCATCCTATTAGTATTTCAGATGCGAATCAATAGATGTTTTGATCATGATTTTTGTATTAATTGCGATGACTTTACCTTAGAGTTGTGCTTCGAACCAAACAAATCCACGGATAATTACCAGAGAGTGACCCTGAAGATTACACGGAGCATCTCTTTCATTCGGATGCATAATTTATGTAAAGACCAAACACTCTCTTTTTGTATTAACTTTTGTGGTTCGTCAACACAAGCTTTAAATCATTGTAAATACACATAATTAGCATACGGATATTTGTATAAAAGTATTTATAAATATAAAAGATAGCATTACAGAAAATATCTAATTTTCCCAAATAGATATTGGTGGATAGCAATGACGAGATATTGATGCAGCAATGCGTCTGAAAGCGCGACAATCAGTGCTAAATGTCTGAGATTGGTTAATCATGATAAGTGATAAAGAATACCTATCACATCTTATCATATAATTTAACTGGTATATTTACCTCTTATTTCCAGTCGCCAAACAAGATTACTATCAATACTCATCGCAGATGGAACGTCTATGTGTGCTGGAGAGCTAATGCTATGGCACAAGTGCGCAAGTGACATGTGCAGAAAAGCCCAAAAAAATGATAATGGCAATATCCCTATTTCTGGTTGACATCAAACTTTAAGTGCAAATATCCTACATAAGATGAGATGAATACGTTCTATTTTCATCCAAGAAGTTAAAATGAAGCATTCCTTATTCTATCTTAAAAGAAATCGAATGGATTTATTCAAGGGATTATTGCGCAGTGTATGTGTGGGTGAAACGGTTCTTCAGATTCACACCATCGAAATACTGTGGATTTGACAGGTACGAAGGAAAACACTCGTAAGTATTAGGCTTACTGCACAAGCTATCATGTTAATCATGAGGTAGATGGGTATCTTAATGTGTCACAATGCAGGTTTTTTAATTGTATGCATCTGATTTAAAAAAAAAAATTTACACATTGCCTAAGAACATTAATTAGTTTTCTATCATGACGTATCCATAAGATAGTTTATGCACGTGCACTTCGATACTGTAAACGTAACACAAACTGATTAATACTGACATACAAATCTTATTACAATTGTTGCTCAGAGTACTTACCTATCGTCAAAGTGCAGTATCCATTTCGTAATGCGTAAACATAGTGACTACGAAAACATCGTAGGGCGACAATGTCACCTTGAATACCACAACACCCCAGAGACACTATTGTCTGGGAGAGATGCCATATATCTAGAAAGTACTTTCAAAATTGCTCTCCAGTAACTTACGCAAAGCTTATTGTATCGTCGGTTTACTGTACATTTAAAAGCATAGCCAATGCAACCATTTGTAAATTACAAATGTGCGTTTTTATAACTTTCGTCAGGCAAAAACAAACATTAAAATGGCAGATGATTTGTTTTAGCATGTGCTTTGCAAACATTGAAATTTCATTGCTAACTATAAATCATGTAGTATTTTGTGTATACGAGAGTTATTTTTTTCGGTGTTAGGAATCGTACTAGCTTTAGGTGTGTTTTAATAGGAATCAATCCATGGAACAGCAATTAAGTAGTTGCGCAATAAAAAAGGTTTTACATGACTAAAATGAAAAAGGAAACCTTTTAGACATATATTTATATATTATTTTGTAATATAATTCAATCGACTCGAAACCAATTACGGGCAAACTATGAGTGTCGTAACAGTCTCTCGTTCACCATCCATATTCTGTAAGAACGAAGGTAGAATACCAAAGATATAGGCTCGATATTTATTTCGTTTTGATAAATAGCCAATAACTGATGTGCGGTAGTATTGACAACAATACACATCAACAGAGCTGGATTTATAAGACCAATATCGCATAAATAATGGCTGGAGATCATAAACGAATGATATAATTTTTATGTTAAGATGTCATATGGCATTCGCGTGTGAAACATGGTATGACTACCTTTGTGTAATTTTAGATGTCATTAAATATATGTTTTACCAACTGTCCTGCTGTTAAAAAATGCAAACAAACTTTTCATCCAAATGTTGTATTTCAGTCATCCTTGTTAACATTGTAACAGAATTCAATCCAATTTAAATACGAAAACAACGCTTCGTATTTTCGATTCAAACGATAAATGGAATGAATTTTAATCACATTTATGTTAGAAAATACATAGTTTTCATGAATTTTTATTCCGAAGATAAATTCCGTTTTAGCTTAATGTATCCTTTCGAGACACAACATCCTGTTTGGAAGTGGCCCACGTGGTTTTACAAAACTACACATCTCGTCCACAACCATCCAAACTAATCATGACTTCCTGAGAGAAAATATTACAACATGACTGATCAAGTTCAAGTGTTTACCATTTCTTTAGTGTGGTGAATTGCCTCCATCCCATCCATACCTGTGGACTGTAAGTCAAATGATAAAGTTTCAGACACGTGTGCCTCGATTTGAAGCATAAAACAAATTATTAAACTTCCGTCTTACTCACCTGAATAAAACCTGGGACACCTTTGGCAAACTCGACTACTTTGACAATGGAAGGGGTCATCGCATCTGCTAGTTGCTGCCATGCCTCAGGATCGTTTGTGTCAGTACAACTCATCTGCAAGAATACATAATGGACGATAACATAGAAGCCTCACCTCTAGTTCACCCCGAACAGCTATAGCATGCTTTTATAATCAATTCTAATACATGTAAAAGCATGTATCTTATTGGCTGTTGTGATCCCGGTCAGTGCCCTCTTGCCCTATCTAGGACAACATCCTCTTGCAACCTAAGGTCAATCCTACTTATACATAAACTTCCAACCCACATTATATAAATATAGCATGCGTATTTACCGTTTTAGGTTATCAATCGAGCACAGGAAGTGGAGGACGGACGGTAAAGCAAGAATGTTGTCGCCGACACACGTTACACAACAAAAGAAGACATTTTCTTTCCGTGCTGGACAAGGAAGAAACTGCCATCTTTACGGTAAGATATCTTCAAAAATAGCAGGTTTCCTCTAGTGTATGTTGTGTTAATGGTGTTGAGATGTGTATGTTTTCAGCATCGTCCATTTTGAATTTTGTGGTCGTTCAAGAGCCAACATAGATTTATCTATCGTAAATCAAAGCGGAGTTATCTAACAGTTTTAAGTATTAGCAGGTATTTCGAAATTGATTTGGATGAATAACTTGTGTTAAGTGACGATACAGAAATTAACGTAACAAGGAAGTTGCACAGCTTGAGTGTTAGTATTGATAATAGATTTGATATTCAGGTCCTCTAAATACAGAGATATCAGGAAACTTTGAGGCGATAAAAGTCGTACTTGGAACGTGTTCGTCATGATGTAAATTTATTTATTTTCTAAAATAATTTAATGATTCCGCCTGTGTATGGGAATAAGCAATAAATTATGCTCGTGAAAATAAATAAGCAGTTAAAAGTTCAAAGAAATGGGTAATTGAATACATAATTAAATCCTATTAGTTTGATCACATTATTCAAAAGTACTGGTTCGTTGAGGATGACAACTGTGTTAATTTCAAGTATTCCCTCATATAATACTCCTGAGAGCAACTCTTTACACGTTAATGACAAGTAAACAATATCCGATGTTTAATTTTATTTCATGCTTTTCTAAGGTTTGGTTCCTTTAATGGGTTTTAAATCCCTGAAGTAAATTGAAATTGACAAGAGGTCCCTAAAATGTTTTCTTATCAAGTCAGATGAAATTGACAAATGAATGTATTTCATTACTGCTATCTAGAAACCTCACAAAAAATTTTGCTTATCATTATGTTAATTTATTCATGAATTCCGTTTTGAAACTCGGGTGTTTCTGTGTCATACAAACATACCACAGCTTCGGCAGGCTTGAAATGTCGATCAGCATGAGTTGATATTACTAGGAAATTTTATCTCAATGCCTATATTTTTACAACACTAATAACATATTGAGCACATATTGAGCATTGTCTTAGGTTTCATCCAATGGGAATAGGTATCGATTTTTAAAATTCATCTTCCGGGTTTTTTATTTATTTTTTTTTCTATTCTGATTTTTTTGTTTGTTTTTTATCTTTTGTTTTTAATTATTTTTTAAATTTTTTTCTTTACTTCTTTTAGGTGTATGATTTTTGTTATAGTTACAGCTATATTTCATCAAACTACTGAAGTAAAATATAATTACTGATATCTTCCTGTTTTTTTGCCATTTGGATATGGGTACAGGCAGATATGGTCTGTGCTGTTATTTGTATAATGAGCTATATCAAAACACGGTAGAAACATATCTTACCTAAATGTAAATACCTGCTTATTCTTTTGTAAACAATCTATAAATATGATCAGAATAGCAAAAATATACATCAGTAAATGTCATTTAGGTTAGAACTTTGAAAAGGTAGGGACATCGTATCTTAATAGATTGTGTTAAACGAAATCATACTCGAGTCATACTGTTAGCTTCAGTATTATCTTAACGTATTTAAATAATTGAAAATTGTTTTGAAATATACAGTTAGATAGAAGCATCACAACATTGCAAGTTGTTTTAGAAATATATAGTTAGGTAGAAGAATGATATTAAAATATACCTTAAAATGTATAATTGTGATATTGCATGTATACCCTATGGTCCTTCAATTAAATAAAATGACACAAACTAAAAATATAACATTAACAGAAATTCATGTATACCCGTGGTATTATGGTATTATGATAGGTCAACCAGAAATAAAGTTTTTATAAGCTTCAGTACATACTGACGTAATATTGACATGAAATGAGTAATAAAATCGATAGAATATCAAAGATTGTACACACAAATGAATATCGCATTATATAACAACTTTAGAGCAAAATAATTACTTCAAATGCATCATAAAACTGTTTTGTAGAATATATCGCCTGTCATTTGCACCAAACATCTAGCAGGGAATGTTTCCTTTAATTCACAACAACGACAAACATATATAACAATGGAATTCAATATCAGAGCGTTATACATACCCCTTGACCTTTGGATTGGACCTTCGTGGCTGAGCATTCATACGCGTTCACAACTTCGGCTATCAATACTTTATCATTTTCTGTGAGTGTATCATGTGGACATAAATCAGCCTTCGTTTTGAGTTTTTGTGCCTCTGATTTTCGCTTGTCTCTATTATCCTCTATTAATTTCCGTTTGGCTTTTCTCTGTTTTTCGTTTAGGACAACTGTAAGAACAATAATATTATTGTATCAGTAGTGCACTCAAATGTAAATCCTAAATGAAAATATACTTATAATTTTGCATAATGGTCTCTCATTTAATCAGTGTTAATCTGGATTGTGTTCAATGGATTATAGATACATTCTAGACCATAAGACAATAATACCATGTCATGTTAGCGCCATGTTGACCAAAGGTAGGTCCTACCTGACATCATTCTAATCAGACAATCAATGCAATCTGATGGCCGTTCAGTGGTACCCATGTGAAAATTTGCATTGTTTTTCCTATTTTCACGTTATCTAGAAATCAAATTCATTTCAGGAATCTAAATTTTAATTTACCATGCTCAACATCGATGAAATGAAGCCAAAATATTAATCCTTATCATAAACATTATTACAGAACAAAATATGGTTGCTTATCCTAAACATGTTTACATAAAAAAATATGATTGCTTACACTAAGCATGTTAACACAACAACATATGATTGCTTATCCTAAACATGTTAACACAACAAAATATAATTGCTTATTTACACAACAGAATAGGAAGAGACAGACGAATGGTTGTCATCAACATAACTTTATAAAACGTATCAACAATACAGTTAATTACCTATTCAAGTTTGTATTTTGTCTTCATTAAAATCCTTTACATGAGAACTTATCGAGTTACTGTCCGTGACCTGATATCTACACATTATCACACTGGTCAGTGGGTTCACCAAGTTGTCTTTATAAACAGATTATAGATCTAGGAGTTGCTAGAATCCTAACACTCTAATTGTATCTCATTATGATAGTTTTCATGTTTCGTCGTCAAATATTATATACATTGAAGAATTACCATTCAGAAAAGCAATTCTATCGTGATACTGAAGAATATAGACTAACATTGGCTATATAACTGCATAGTGTTAGGCTGTGTTTGTTTCTTAATAGGTTAACTTCAATGTAGTTTAATTTAGGGACAAAAATAGGCTCCACGTGACAGTTTACAGAAATAGATTGATTTATGGTTAAGTGTAACTCCCTATCTTTATTTCAGAATAAATATCAGACAAGTATAGTTTTAAGTTGCCAGATTTCTAGTATTCAGAGTTAGATTCCTAACATCCCCCATGAGTTCTTCAGCGACCAATCAAGTGTAGATTTGGCATCCATTATTTCTTTCACAACGTATTGTTTTCATTCTAAAGGAGAAATACTATGTATACAGAGTAATAATGCGATAGGGAAGTCCTATATCAACAAAATACAGGTCAGTCAAACACATAATGTACTAATTAGTTTTTTACTATCGTAATTCATAAGAAATGGTTTAACATTATTAGATTTCAAACAGCGGAGTAGTTACAGGTTTATTTAGCTAACCACCAATATATGCTTAATTTTCTTTTTTTAGGAATCACAAATTTAGCAGCAATATGCTTTTTACTTGAATATTGGTACTTTTACAGGGAAATATGTATTTTTTCAAAAAAATTATTTTTTATCGTTTTACTAAACGAACAAGTAGTATATCGAAATTATAGCTAAATGCTACATCCTAAAGTTATACATTCGAGTTGGAATTCTATTTAATAGTAAAATAATTCAGGTTAGAAATCAATCTATTCCACTTCACATCAGCGCTTTGATGTACAGGTCAGCAGAAAATCGATCCTTCTGGGACGTAGCTGACGGTCACGTGACGTCCACTTTGGACTTTGGACTCAATATAATGTGCTGCTGACCATTATAATGAGTTATTGTGTCCATCCCGAATATGCCATAAAATACTATAATGAGGAAACTGAATACCCCGATATGTCAAAGATTGGTAACACGTGACCATAGAACCATATCACATTACTCGTATAAACGTGGTTTATGATAGATAACATACAAATTTGGTGTACTTCCTGTAGTCCTAGAATATTAACGAGGACTCACAGGCGAATTTTCTCTAATTCATTAACCGAATTCAAAAATGAGACCATTTGGTAAAATATCTTTATAAATGTATGAAATTCATCATATAAACATTCAGAAATAAACGTTGAATGTTCAGAGTAATATCTTATTTGTTAATAGATTAATGACATATGAACCAAATAAACAGATTAATTAACCAACAGTTCTGTTATTCAGGTCGGATAAGCTTATTGAAATCTGATCTGATTAAATATTAAAGTTTAAAGATCAACATGTGTGTGGTTTAAACAACACACATCCTGCGTTTTGGTCACTCAGTTTGTACAATCTGTCAACTTAAGGTTTTAAATATCAAATCTCTTTTATCAATTCAGTGATAGCATTTTAAAGAATGAATAGATGCTGGAAATCTAAAGTTTGATTTTATACAATATTTATTGAAAATAAGTAAAGCCTTTAACGAACAAAAATTTAACTTATTTTGAAACAAAACAAACAACCCAAATATCCCATAATGCGAACACACAATGACATATGGTAAGTGGGTGGGATTTGCACAACAAAAACATATTTTAACTTAATTCAATAGGGATGGAAGAGATTCAAAATCCATTGCCAAAATCGACAATATTACCGAAACGTTAGAAATATGTAAGGAGCATGATATTTCATGGGTTTTTTCGTCTGTGTAAGGTAACCTACATTGACAAAGTATTATTATTGCCTCTTCTGAAGATATTCGGTGCTTGTTTCAGGCTATACATTTATTCTGAAGCGAACTTGATCTTACTGAATCTTGTAATAATTTGTCTAAAGCTTAAGGTTTTATCTAAATAAACTAAATTAAACGCAAAATCTTTAAATGTTCAGTTTCTCAGCATCCTTGATTATCAGATCCACTTGACCTTAAACTCTGGAAGATATTTGGTGACTGATTGATGTGGTGAGGTGTTATTTAATTGATCTAACTATAGTTTGGGCTATGTTGAAGACATGTTTTCTGCGGCTAAAGGTTTTAAATTATAGACGTTAAAGTGAACTTTTGACGAAAATGCCACCGCCCTCCGACAATTAACAACTTAGATGTTTTTTTTTCGAGACTTTTTTCCCTGGCGAGGCAAAAATGAATGGTACATAATCTGTATTAATTTGACCCCTATTCTGTAAATTTAATCTAATTCAGCTACAGATCCCATCACCGTTAGAGACTGAATGGTAAATTTTGCAAACTCATTTTTATCTTTTTAATAAATTGTGTTACTCTATCTTATCCTTAATATACATAAAACTACCAACATGTCCACCGAATCAAATCAATTAAAATTAAGACAAAATAGGAACAAAAAACTTACACAATTACTACTTATTAACAGTCCCGGAAAAATACTACAACAAGCAAAACTAAGACAATTAACTATCACATCGGTTAATTACGTCCTCCAACTGATGACGAATTATACAAACTGACAAACAAAACAAGGTAACTCCAGCTACGTGATGTCCATCCAACAGAAATCGAATGACATACATTTGAGGTCCTGGGATGTTGATTTCATTGAAATACCATACCAGTTACTGACCATATGCAAATATTGACACTACAATCAAAATCTCCTAATATAACCGAGCGAGTTAAGAGCACTTTAAATTTTCTATAGTAAAATCGTCCTAGTTAGAATTTGTATTAGAAAAATCGACCATAACAACAATAGTATCCATGGAATACTTTATGTTAATGATTGAAACATATTTGATATTTAGAACTCTATTTTGCACATTATAAAATACCTTGTAAAGAGTCCTATCTAGGGATAAATATCCGATTTTATAACTATCATTATTCTTTATCTCTATTTTCTCGACTCTCTTAGCAGACCATAAATATTGTATTTATAATCAATATTGTTCCGTTATCAACACTACAATATTTGTCACAATACATTAGCCATGTTACTTTTGCTGTTTGTCGTAAATGACGTTTTTCACAATTTCCATTGCCGATATGCAGTTTTTATTCAGAGAGATCTAGATACAGCTGAAATGTTTTCGATTGTTTTCACGTTCATGATCACGCCTTCGGCGCATGTGCCGAGGTAAATATATTCAGATAAGTACCAGCTGTTTATTTTCTATCACACACAATATATACGTGAAAAATATCCACAGTGCTATTGATTCTAACTTATATGAAATACATATATTTCCAAAATGTAATATATATAGACATTGTTTCGGGCCCTATTCACATGACTTCAACCTCTAGATAGTGTGTTCCGATATTTGGGACAAGGTCACAGATATAGAGTTTATTCGAGTCCACCAGTAAACACCAAGAGACCGGTCAGTATAGATCGAAACCATGTAGATTATGCCTAACGATATTATTACTCCCAAGTCACTGTTCCTTGTACAAATTGGCTGGTTGCCAGTTGACCTGAATACTCGGGACAAATGTACCGGTCAGCCTTTGGCCATAGTACACGTGTGTATTGGTGATGGTCTCGACCAGGCACTCAGCGTCCATTTATAGTGCCGCGTGGTACATTTTATCTTATACTTTATTTGGTTTATATCAGATACTTAAAATAATGTATTTCCGTAGTGTGTACAGTTATGGCAATGTTTACCACGGAAAACGATTTCCTGTTGAATTTCCCGCCTGACAATATTTGTAAATTTCGTTTTGTATCACTGGTAAAGATAACTTGTTAAATAAATATACTGTTACCATTGAATTAACACAGTACCTTATTACATCACCAAGGTTACACATATACGTAAAAACACAAAGGATTCTTATTTAATCCAATGATCGACCATTTAAAGCGAAGACAAGTAGAACAGAGAAGATGCGATGTAAGAAAACTATGACACATTAACAAGACTGCAACGATCCCGAAACAAAAGCCATCAAAATGTTTTCATTTCTCTTTAGTGTTATCCTCTTATAGAAAAGGGTTTCACGAATTTCTAAAAGTTTCGTCTCGATGTCTAAAAGTTTTCGGTATGTCTGAGGAAATATCCTCGCGTTTCTGAATGTATTAGAAATAAAGTTCTGAAATGTCTACCTTCTTTGTGTGCCTTTTGCAATGTCCTGGTGTTTCTTAATATCATAGAATGTATTCATGGTAATGAAGTTGTGTCTAATTGTCCTGGTGTGTGTGTCAATTTTTTTCTGGTGTCTGTCTAATTGTTCCGGTGAGTGTCGGGATGTTCCGGTGTGTATCGGAATGTTCCGTTGGGTGTGTCTTAACGTCCTGGTGTGTCTGATTGTTCTGATGTGTGTCTGATTGTTCTGGTGTGTGTGTCAAATTTTTCTGGTGTGTGTCTAATTGTTCCGGTGAGTGTCGGAATGTTCCGGTGAGTGTCGGAATGTTCCGGTGTTTGTCGGAATGTTCCGTTGGGTGTGTCTAAATGTCCTGGTGTGTCTGATTATTCTGATGTGTGTCTAATTGTCCTGGTGTGTCTTTAACAATTAAAAGGGGAAATACTTACATAATCCTATTGTATTTTTATTAAGAAAAGAGGTAGTGATTTCATTAATTTTGATGTGGTACTGTACTTAAGTAACCAAATGAGGGGAAGATACATTGAATTGCGGTATGGTGTGTCTATGCTTTAAAACAAGGAAGTTGTCTTCTGGTTTCCGAAAAGATACCAATGGGAAAAAAGTGTCATTAACAGTGTGTTCTTAGGTGAAAAGCGTGATCCAGAAGGAATGTCATCAGATTCTATGTCTTATAAAGATATTTGAGATTTTCATTGACGTCTAATGCTAGGGAATATGACATAAAGATACAGGAAATCTGAGTAAACATCTTTTTTTAAGTCTTGTACAAGTCAATACACTGTGTATTGTCTATTGAATCAATGCCATGAACATGCAACATAACTTTGGAATAAAAGAACGCATTACAAATTACACTGGTTCCTACGAGAAAAACACTGTACTTAGATATTAAGTGCAAAATCACTTTATCGGTTATACGAAACTTACGATCAGTTGCCATGCCAACTTGAACACATTTCCGGTAGCGACATTCCTGGCACTGGTTTCGTGAGGTTTTGTCTATTATACAGTTACTATTCCATTTACAATGGTATTGTAAGTTCTTTTGTATGGTCCTTCTGAAGAATCCCTGGAAAAAAGATTACGTTTATTATTTAACTATTTTGTCTTTCGGATTCATTTTGCTTTCGTTCTAATCCTGTCAACCAATCAGAGTAGTATAGATACATGGTATATCCATTAACTCAGCCAATATGTATTACAAAATAACAATATAAGAAAAACAGCAAGAAAGTACCAACATGTCAACATAATTATAATTCAAACTCAAATTCAATAAAACTAGGGCAAAATATGAACAAACGAAAATTTAACACGGAGACTCCTGAAAATTTAGATTAGTAAAATGAAGAATGCTGATAAGACGCCTATGGGTGAATGTTATTGATCAACGTCTTGTTCTTGTAGATACAGAATTTTATTTCTTGTAATGTATCAAACATTCACAACTGCAAGATGAGTGATCGCAAAGTGTCCAGTACATGTCTTATCTTCTGATGATATGCAAATTAAAGGTGACCCGTGAGTGGCCGGAATTCTAATGTAAGTCTGTGGTTTACGGTCGTCATAGTTACCTCATTAAGAATTATACTATTTCTGTGTGCGATATAAAGCCGTGCGTATTTGATGCCCGTTATTTTGCCTATGTGTTCCATTGTTGTGTTTGAAGACGTGACATCACTTACTTGCATTGACAAAGATTTCATGGCAGGTGTCGTTGATGAGCAAAAGATGCTTACTCTTCCGAACACCCTGAACTTTTTACAGGAGTTTACCTATGAACTTTTCATATTCTGCCCTAGTTTTATTGAATTTGAGGTTTGGATTATGATTGGGTTGATATATTCCTGTTTTTTATTTTACACTCCAGAGTCTGACTGGTGTAGAAAGAAAGTGGGCAAATATAAAGTGCTAAAATATTATTTCAATCAAACTAAATGACTAAATAAAAAAATGGGAATGGCGTCACTTTCCTCAACTTCAGCCTTGTATTTTCGCTTACCTTGCATCCTTCACACGTCATACACCTGTAGTGATAGCCAGTAGCCGCGTCTCCACATACCACACACGGTTCTGGGCCGTTCGTCATGTCCATGTAACTAGGGATGTAAGGTGTACCTACAAAATAACAAACCGTGTCACATAATGTAACTAGGGATGTAAGGTTACCTATAAAATAAGAGTGTCACACAATGTAACTAGGGATGTAAGGTTACCTATAAAATAACAAACCGTGTCACATAATGTAACTAGGGATGTAAGGTTACCTATAAAATAACAAACCGTGTCACATAATGTAACTAGGGATGTAAGGTTACCTATAAAATAAGAGTGTCACACAATGTAACTAGGGATGTAAGGTTACCTATAAAATAACAAACCGTGTCACATAATGTAACTAGGGATGTAAGGTTACCTATAAAATAACAAACCGTGTCACATAATGTAACTAGGGGTGTAAGGTTACCTATAAAATATCAAACCGTGTCACATAATGTAGCTAGGGATGTAAGGTTACCTATAAAATAAGAGTGTCACACAATGTAACTAGGGGTGTAAGGTTACCTATAAAATAACAAACCGTGTCACATAATGTAACTAGGGATGTAAGGTTACCTATAAAATAAGAGTGTCACACAATGTAACTAGGGATGTAAGGTTACCTATAAAATAAGAGTGTCACATAATGTAACTAGGGATGTCAGGTTACCTATAAAATAACTAGCTACATATTTTCGCCGGTTTGATTTATTTTGTCTGTTGTCTTACACTTATATTTGTAAATACGTTAATGCATATCACGATAACCAGGTTCCTTATTTTATTATGTACCAGTATTATAGACTTAGAAATTCATTGAAATAAACTTTACTACTCTAGGTATATCTCAGTGGCCTTATGACGTCATCATATTTAACTCTGTTGTACACACGAGTATATTCCCACGTGTAATATCCTTGCATTCATTGCCTTCATTCTTGATGAAGGTCTTTGATATTTTCTGATACAATAGTACAGATTATAAAAATTAACTCAAATAAAATTTCAACCTGTGAACGGAGGGTAAGGATAATAAAAATCTCACGATGATTCCTTCAAATTTACTGGGTCGTATCTTTTTAAAATTCTGTTTTGAATTTTGTGTTTCAAAAAAAGAATCTAGATAAACATGACGTAAGCGTTTAAATTAGGACAGAACAGTCTTATGATTTCCGAAGACATAAAAAGTCGTTTTAAAAATATTTTTTACAAAATTTTACGTCTTACGTCCTATATCAATGTGTTTTAAAAAAGCGTTTTAACAAATACAAATTCTTCACAAAATTATGTTTTGCATTTTATCAGTAAATAACGTTTTACAGTCGAAGGTCATCAACAGAGAAAGGTTCGGAGACGATGTTTGACATTCGGTGGTGCCATATGACAAGAACAACTGGCAGTCTGCTACAACAGAGGTAGGTCCACTGCGCCCGGACAGCTGTTAATGTCATTGATAAACCGGGTCTGGTCATCGTAACGACCTGACCAGTGGTCATGGTCTAATGGTGGGACTGGACATTACGATAGGAATGTCTTTGATGTGTCACGAGGAGCCTTATTTACTGACCTTACTTTTCTACTAAATCAGATTAAAATCTTCAAGGTTCTATGCAAGACACGTTACATTTAAATGAGGACGTATGTCGACCGGCGAAACGGTCATCGTGCTATCGTCAACTACGGAAAAGCAAGATGGCCATCATATGATCGCCAACTTCCGAAAGGTAAAATGGCCGCCGTGTTGTCTTTAATGATTGAAAGGCAATGTGATCACCGCGATGTCAAAAGGCATGATATCTGCCACAATATCGTCAACTACAGAAAGGCATGATATCTGCCACAATATCGTCAACTACAGAAAGGCATGATATCTGCCACAATATCGTCAACTACAGAAAGGCATGATATCTGCCACAGTATCGTCAACTACAGAAAGGCATGATATCTGCCACAATATCGTCCAGTACAGAAAGGCATGATATCTGTCACAATATCGTCCAGTACAGAAAGGCATGATATCTGCCACAATATCGTCAACTACAGAAAGGCATGATATCTGCCACAGTATCGTCAACTACAGAAAGGCATGATATCTGCCACAATATCGTCCAGTACAGAAAGGCATGATATCTGCCTCATTATCGTCTATTTATTCAGACAAAATGGCCACCACTTTATCGTTAATTATCGAAAGCAAAATGGCTACCCCAATATCGTCAAATATCGAAAGGCAGTGATGAACCACTACCTTACTATCGTCACATATCGAAAAGTCCGAAAGCCGTCGCATCAGTAAATTGAACTTAATTTTTTTTTTAAACTGCAAAAGTCAAAGTCGACAGGTTGTACAGCTATATCAGAAATACCGCTAATAGCAACACGAACACGAAACAATAGCGTCGTGTCAGGGACGTCAAAGAAAGCAGTGTGTAAAGATGATTATTTTGTAAACAGCGTTACGATTATATTAGAGCTTTTCTCGTTGGTCAGTTACAATCCGGGACTCCATGAGTAACAGCTATCATACAAGTGCTTACATTTGTTATACACCAACCTAGATCAGGGCCGTATCATACGTCTCAGACTCAGATGAATATTGTTATGATGTTATGTCTTTCTACCTTACTTATGACACAACATTATGAGAGGGAAAGGGGGAGGGGGTTGAGCTCCTCGGTCTTCATTTCAAACCACGTGTTAATCTGTTTATCACGTCCTTTTATTTCCAGTACCGCAGGGAAAGCCTGGTATCCGCCAAGACGCATAACTTTACCCAATCGTGCGCAACATTATGTAACGCGCCTGGCTAGCCAACTGCGAGTAACCACCACGACAAATTCGATTGGTTCACAACAATCTGATGTGCTAGGCAAACAACTTGACCGTGGAAGTCCTCAAACTGACACTGAAAGGGATAATGGTCAAAGTTTCCGACAGCTCAGGACACGTATGTACGCACAACTTAAAAATGTACAAAGAAAACATTTTTATCATTGGCAACTGAAAAGTTCAGATCTAAAATAATTCCCTTGACACACAGAAAATTATCAATTTTAACTTTTAGATAGGACTTTAAAGCAAACTAAACGGGTTTCAATTTCAGTTTAAAGCTGTCCACACTGGGGAAGACCTGATATAACCCCACTATTGATCCTATCATAAAACCTGTGACGTAATACGCCACTTATCGCCAGTCGTTTAGTAGGTGTGTATATATGTACTATGTACTGTGAGGCGGCCTAGGTAAATAGCCCAGGGCATGGTACACAAATCCAACAGTCGACCTTGGAAGAGGTCAAACTGGAAAATGCTGTGACTAGCCTCATTACGTGTATGAACACAAATCGCATTGGTCAGTCTAGTTCAGACGCCGTGTAGTCAGCTTAAGATGTTTGAAAAAAAAATGCAGTTTTATGTGATTAATCACCAATAGCTAGGGTCACGTGACCACGGTATCTACTGACGGCTGATAAATTTTAAGGGTCAACGTTGTCTCAATTGTCATTACCCGAATTCAGTAGAAAATGAGCTATACGAAAACGGAGTAAGATGGAGAAAAAAAACGAATATCTGTGTTAAACGTCCCTAAATTATATAACAATGTTCTTCCATCTGTTCTCGTGTTACATGTATTGTATCATTTGTTATTCCAAATATAGCTATGATGATTTTATTCGTCTTTGAAATATAATATTTATCTTTAGATATCTTATTGTACATTTGCTATCTAAAATGTGTTTTTATTATCTATATTTTAACAAAGATACAACAAAACTCTCGATTAAATAGATATAAATAAACTTAAAATACAAACATAGAATATGAAAATTTTAACAGCATAAATTACAACTGTACAATACAATTATCTAGATATAGAATAGGAAAAATTATCCAGCATTAATAAACACAAAATACGATTATTAATTGTACATTAGTACGTAATTTGGATGTAAGAATCACTGTCTGTGACTAATTCTATAATAAAATAACCTTGCCCTCTAAATTAAAGACAATATTCTGGACACGAACATCTGATCAATCTTGTCATAAACAGAAAAAAGTGAAAACTTTGGCGTTGACGAACGTCCTTATAGCTACACGTGATATAGAACACGTCTCTCTTAAGCAACTTCTGACTTATTTTCCAACAACGTGCCAAAGATAACATAATCAAAATGAATTTGGAATTGATTATGAGTGAAGGTTATTCTACTGAGAAAGTCGGCTAATTGTTGTAGGTATGTTGACATCACACTGGGTACTTGCCAAGTTAGAATCAACTTTGATACTTCAGCAATGGTTACTATGGTTATTGTTTCTTTAGTAACAGCGATACTGTTCAGAATATAAATAATCAAAATCTACAAAATCTAAACTTTCAATATGTATGAATTATTTCAGATATTAAGTGTCAAAAGATATAGTTCATATGATAAGATTTCAGCGCTATATAAGATTTTTTTCGTCGTTTCTAAGAAGATATACAGGTATATACATAAATATGGATCCAATACATAGCTGTAATATTAACAAATAATATCATATTCTTAATTAATAGACAAGTAATTAATAATTTCTACGGTAGTGTTATCTATTTCTTATATTTTATGATGGATGTAAGTGTATAATGGTAAGCGTGTCAATGTTTTTTTCATAGGTAAACGACTCAGATGGTCTCGATAAGTATTATTAGATATGAAAAAAAGATACACGTGATCTTATTTTTATTTTTAGACAACATCTTTTGTTTATTATGTTGAAGCCTAGTGAAAGTTCAGCCATGTTTTTTCCCGCCGATATCAAGGGGAGTTAACTCTATGCCCAATATCAAGTGTCATTAATAATGACAGCGCTCAGCTAGTAATGGTGTACTTAAGTGCAATTCAAGCCATATATTATAATTGTAATTGACAAATGTTGGTCATTTCTTAACAGTCGACGAAAGGTCAGCGGAAGTAACCTTTTGAGCGCTGAAAGTGGGTAGTGACCAAATATCAGGATTTCGACAAGACGTGTAAGGCTTTCAATAACTCTCTGTATTGAATAACACGAACATATATATCGTTTCAAGATGGAAA